TTAAGGATATTGAGATGGGGTGATTATCCTGGATTATCCAGGTGGACTATTGTAATCACAAAGGTCTTTATAAGAGGGAGACAGGAAATCAGAGTGAGTAGTTGAAGATGTGACAACAGAAGCTAAAGGTTGGGGTGATGCAAGGAAGGAGTCACACGCCAAGGAATGCAGGCAGCCCCTGCAAGCTGGAAAAGGCAAGAAAATGAATTCTCTCCTCAAAGCCCCCAGAAGAAGCCAACTCTGCCCATACCCTGACTTATCAAAGTGAGACTGATTTTGGTTCTTCTGATTTTGGTTCTTAGACTGTAAAAGAATAAGTTTATGTTGTTTTAAGCCCCTAAATTTGTGATAATTTGTTACAGCTGCAACAAGAAAACTAATCCACCATGTAAAGGCCGTTGATGAAAGGCATGCAGTCTCCTGTTAGAACCACTCTGGGGTCTTATGTCTAAGGAAAGGCACCATGTTCTTAACTGCCTAGCAACCAGGAAAAGGGCTGGGTATCTTTGTTCAAACTAAAGGCCTTCACGTATCTTTTTCCATGAAGGAGAAGTCATTTTGTGGTAGAAGCTAGAAACCAAGGGCTAAAGAACAAGCCAGATGCCAGGGACTCACATCCCCTTTTTGGATATTCTGTCTAGATTTTCATGTATCAAAACTGAGACAGTCCTAGGAAAACTAGAGCCACTAACATAGTGCCCCAAGGACTAGCTGATCAAATAACTGGTCATTTCAAAGGGGAACACAAATCAATCAAATCAGCTGTTTTCATTCATTCACTCATTTATCTCAAAACCCCAGCAGATACCATCTCATGATGCCCCTGGCAGAACCCAGATCCTGGGGTTTATCACCAATTTCAAAGACCTGAAATCATCCCAATGACAAGACAGCCTTACATTTCTGAATCATGGAATTTTTCAGGCAGTCTGTGCATAGTCTCATTAAAGAAAAAACTATACAAAACATGAAGAAAAACAGAAAAACATGGCTTCATGTCCCATAGCAATAAATGCTTTAAAAAAAAAAAAAATCAAGACCCCAAACATCCTCTCTGTCATGTTTATTTCTTTCTTATCTGTAAGAGTAAAATGTTTATAGTGTCTTCACCACATAATGTCAGGGTCCATCAATGATAAACTGTAGTTTAATAAGAGGCAGAGTAAAGACCTTCATTCTGAGTTTACCCTCAGCAGTGAACTTTCATTTGTGATGCTTCAAAACAAAGCCACATTTAAGGGAAAGATACATGGTGATGTTAACTTGTGCACATTAACATAGTTTATAAAACAAATCTCCCAAACATTTATTGTTCAATTAAGCTTCTGGCTATACGGGGCTTAGTATAAGCAACAAAATGAAAGAAACCTCCCAGAAATTGACATTGGCACTCAAAAAATAATAAAGATAAGTATTAAAACATTTCCAGTATATTTTCATTCTGAAAATGTGTTGATATAAAATTTCTAAGAACGCCACATAATTATTAGGATTATTTCCTATAGAAGTTATAAATACTTAGGTTCAGGTAATCAGGTTCCCATAAATAGAAGGTTCTTTCTTAAAACACTGAACAATAGGAATATTATCACATGGGCCTGACAGAAAGGAAGCTGAATTTAGTTCCCAGAGTAACCTTAACCTAGAGCATCCTTGGCTTAATTTGGATTACTGGTTTTTCCTAGTCTATTTCCCTTATGCCCACTAGCACTCTTGCATTCGTGGGCACGCACCTCCTTACCCAATCACATCTTTTTTTAATTGAATTTATTGTGGTTATATTGGTTAATAAAATTATACAGGTTTCAAGTGTAGAATTATATAATTTGTCATCTGTATATTGTACTGCATGTTCACCATCCAAGGTTAAGTCTCCTTGCGTCAATATTTATTCCCCTTTATGGTCTTCTACCTCCCCCACCCCCTTTCCCTCTGGTAATCACCATTCTGTTGTCTGTGTCTATGAGTTTGTGGGGGTTTTTGCTTCATCTCTTCACCTGTTTCAACTAGCCCCCCAACTCCCCGTCCCTGACAACTGTCAGTCTGTTCCCTGTATCTGTGAGTCTGTTTTTGTTTTGTTTGTTTGTTTGTTTTGTTCATTAGATTCCATATATAAATGAAATCATATGGTATTTGTCTTTCTCTGACTGGTTTATTTCACTTAGCATAATACTCTCCAGGTCCATCCATGCTGTTGCAAGAGGTAAGGTCTCCTTATTTTTTATGACCTAGTAGTATTCTGTGTGACTTTTTTTTAATATGTCTTTATTGATTTCAGAGAGAAGAAGTGAGAGAGAGAGAGAGAGAGAGAGAGAGAGAAACACTAATGATGAGAGTCAATGATCGGCTGCCTCCTGCAAGCCCCCCTCTGGGGATTAAGCCCGCAACCTGGGCATGTGCCCTGACTGGGATTCAAATCACCATCTCCTGGATCACAGGTTGATACTCAACTGCTGAGCCACACCAGCCAGGCATTTGTTAAAATCCAGCACCCATTTATGATAAAAACTCTCAGCAAAGTGGGAATAAAGGGAACATACCTCAACGTAATGAAGACCATATATGACAAACCCACAGCCAATATCACACTTAATGGGCAAAAAATAAAATCATTTCATTTAAGTTCAGGAACAAGACAGGGATGTCTGCTTTCACCACTCTTATTCAACATGCTATTGGAAGACCTAGCCCCAGAAATCAGACAGGAAGAAGAAATAAAAGGCATCCAAATTGCAGAGAAAGAAGTAAAACTGTCATTTGCAGATGACATGATACTGTATATTTGGAAGCCTAAAGATTCCACCAAAAAAACTACTAAAACAATCCAATTTAAAAATGGGCAGAGGACCTGAATAGGCACTTCCTCAAAGAAGACATATAGATGGCCAAAAGACATATGAAAAAATGCTCAAGATACTAATTGTCAGAGAGATGTAAATTAAAACTGCAATGAGATATCACCTCACACCTGTCAGAATGACTATCATTAATAAATCAACAAGCAAATGTTGGCAAGGATGTGGAGAAAAGGGAACCAACCCTCCTACCCTGTTGGTGGGAATGCAGATTGGTGCAGCCACTGAGGAAAATAGCATGGAATTGCCCTAGTCAGTTTTGCTCAGTAGTTAGAGCTATCTGCCCGAGGAGCTACGTGCCCGGGTTCCATTCCAGCCGAGGGCACGTACCTCGGTTGCAGGCTCCATCCCTGGCCCCAGTTGGGACACATGTGGGAGGCAACCAGTTGAACTGTCTCTTTCATATTGGTGTTTCTCTCTCTCTCTTTCTCTCCCTTCCACTCTCACTGAAAAGCAATAGAAAAAATATCCTCAGGTGAGGATTAAAAAAGAAAAAGAAAATAGCATGAAATTTCCTCAAAAAATTAAAAAGTGAATTCCTCATGGCCCAGCAATTCCACTTCTGGGAATATACCCGAAGAAACTCCAAACATTGATTCGAAAGAATATGTTTACTTCAGTGTTATTTACAACAGCCAAGATTTGGAAGCTGTCCAGGGGTTCATCAGTAGATGAGTGGATAAAAAAGCTGTCGTATGGTTTACACAGTGGAACACTACTTGGCCATAAAAAAGAAGGAAATCTTACCCTTTGGGACAGCATGGATGGACCTGGAGAGTATTATGCTAACTGATAAACCTGTCAGACAAAGACAAATGCTATATGATTTCACATATATGTGCAATCTAATAAACAAAATAAACTAACAAACAAAGTAGAAACAGACTCATAGATACAGAAAACAGACTGGCAGCTGTTAGAGGAAAGGGGGTTTGGGGGTTGGGAGAAAAATTGAAGCCAAAAAAAAAACACCTCATAGGCACAGGTAAAGGGGGGTCAAGGGAGGTAGGAGAGGGTAAAGGGAGAATAAATGGTGATGAAAGGAGACGAATTTGGGTAGTGAACACATAATACAATACACAGATAAAGTATTATAGAATGGTAAACGGAAACCTATATAATTTTATTAACCAATATCACCCCAAAAAATTCAATAAAAAATTTTTTTAAACTGTAAAAATACAGGTGAGGATGGACAAAGTGTATTCTCCAAATCAGCCATTCTCAAACGTGGGCATGCAAGAAATATATGAGAAATGCAAAGAATACATTTAAATTGTAATTCTGATTCAGGCAGTTGCTGAAATACAGAAAACTTTTCTAGTCCAAAAGAACTTAATGAGTCTGTTTTCCCTGTTAATTGGGGAAAGGGAGAAACATTACCTGTCATAACCTCGTTGCATGGGTATCTATAAGGATTTTCCGGGTGAGAATTAGAAGAAAAGAAAAGCACTTTATCTCTCTCCTTCTCCAGCCAACTGCTTGTGAGAAGTGGAGCTTAGTTTTGGGTCTGGGGGAGATAGCATGGTCTCAAGACAGTGCTCAACACATTCTTTCTCCCATTCCACTGCCAGGGCACTGAACTCATCTTTAGCCTAATTTAGCAGAACATTGTTAAAAGTGTTAGAGTGAAAGGAACTGCTTCTTGAACTGCATTCTGCACCAAAAAGGTGACCTCAGTGCATACCCAGAGTGTTTCTGAGCCCCATACAGAAACTTCCTCTTTAAAAATGTTGGCCCAGAAATCCCTGGGTGAGTTTATTTCCTATATGAAGCACAACATTAGCAGCCACTTGGAGAGATGCATGGAGAGCTAGGAACAGGCCAGGGAAGGCCAAGGAGTCAGCCTGGACATTCCCACTGAAACCTTCCATTCCTTCTGCTATTAATGACCAGCCAGGCTGTTACTACCAGTTAACCTGCCTGTGTAGGGAAAGCCTGGCTCCCAGTGTCTCCAAAGGCAAGTCCTCTGGGAGGTCGTGAGTATGATTGGCACTAACTGGGCAGCAGTAGTGTGCTCATGGACTTGATTTCGTTACAGTTCCCATTTTCAACTCTACCAATCACCCTGTTCTGTGCTGAAAGCAGGCACCTTCTCAGGGACCCAGCCTGAGCCAGGCTGCAGGGCTGAGGGAGTCAGGGCACTGTCCGCTCCCAGAGTCGTTCTCGAAGCAGCCACTGTCCTTTGGGGTTTTCTGTTTCGAAGTAGTCCTCCCCAGAAGATGCCAGTGGCTCCAGTGCAAAGAGCTCCGCATCCCATTCCATGTCTTCTCCGGAGAAGTTGAAGAGGATCCGTCTGGAGCTCCCCAGGCTGGAAGGAAAGAAGGCAGCAGAGAGGTTATGTTTAGCTTGGCCAGCCACACAGAGAAAGAATGCTCTGATTCACCACTCCTGTGGAGGAGTGGTAGATACGTCTCCAGTGCTGGGCCTTGTGAAGGACAAATCAGTGTTATCATGGGGCTGTGGATGGACCTCTCAGATGGACCTCTAGCTCAGCTTGAAGGAGAAGAGTGGGTGATGAGGACTGGGTCCTGGTTTTAACATGTTCAGTACATGGTTCATTATTATGGGAGGAAAATGCTATTTAGAAACCCCTGAATTCATCAGAGTTGAATGGATCTTATAGAAACAAAGAGAAACAGATGGATGAGATTAGATGGGCCTTTTTGTTTTGAATGGTGGGGTTCCCCCATTGTGGCCTGGGTTGGCCAGAGCAAGAGAGAACATACTGCTCTGAATAAGTGGGTCACAGGAATTTTGGGCTATAGATGGTCACTAGTCTTGGGAGAGAAGAATCCGGAGAGAGAGAGAGGCCAAGAAATGGTGGCAATATGGCAAGAGGGGTCCAGCCAGTAAGAAGTTCTCCATCTGAGCGTGGCCCATGCCTTTCTAAGGCAGGTCATCTAATTGGTTTGATGTTGGTTCCTGCTTCATGCTATGCCCTCTTCAACCCCAAACTCTCATTAAAAATTTGTCGTACACAGTGTGTCTGTGGCACTGAGAGGAAACAAGGAAACAGGATGGCACAAAGCCTAAGGACTAAGCGGACCAGAAGGAAAGGGAGGCAGATCCAGAGCTGAAGCAACAGTTAGGGGTGGTGACAACAGTGGCCAGGCTAGTGTATATATATATAAAAAAAAAAAAAAAAAAAAAACTTAAGCTAAGAATTCCATCCAAAAAAATACACAAGAATAATTTTCGGCATGTAGGATGGGCCTCAAGTCACCTTCAAAACCATCCCAAGGGTCTGAAGGACATGAGACCATCTTGGTTACACTATGTGGCCCAAGCACTTACTCTTTTTTGCAGGCTTTGGGCTTAAATTTCAAGGTGCTGAATGCCCCTTCCACAGCCTTGGGCAAGTAAATGGGGTGCCTCTCAAGTCTCCTCTGAGTGCCAATGGTCCTGCGCTCTGTGCTTTTTCGAAACTGGCCGTCTGTCGTGTGTATGGTACGTACAGCCATGTCTTCAGAGTGTCGGCGCGGCACCCTCAGGATCCAGTTGGAGTGCAAGCTGTGCTCCCGGGAGCTGGTGGCCACTGGAAGAGAGAAGCAGGGGCCCCGAAAAGGAGGACTCACCACCGGGAAGATCAGAAGGCAACAAAGAGAGTGAACAGGACTGAGAACTTACAACAAATGCATGTATATAGCAGCAAATTCCTAGGAAGGACTGGAGAACCAAGCAAAGAGGCTGATTTGACTCTGTAATTATGGTATAGGAATACAATGGAAAATTGTGTCAATTAAAAATAAGAACATACAGCCCTGGCTGGTGTGACTCAGTTGGCTGAGCACCATCCCATGCACGGAGAGGTCGCCGGTTCGATTCCGAATCAGGGCACATGCGTAGGTTGTGGGCTCAATCCTTAACAGGAGGCAGCCGATCAATGTTTCTTTCTCATCAATGCTTTTCTATCCCTCCCTCTCCCTTCCTCTCTCTAAAATCAATTTTAAAAACATATAAAAGAACATAGGTCGATATTTACTAACTTGGAAAGATGGCCGTGATGTAATGTAAATTCTTTGGTGAAAAGAGCAGATGACAAAATAGCAAAGAGATCCTATTTTTGTTTTAAAAAAGTAAAGTGAGTTTGTGTTTGTGTTTAAAACCTTTTTGAAAGGACATACATCAAAATGTTAAGAGTGATTACTATCTCAGGTGCTGTGCTCTCACCAATGTTTTGGATTCCCAGGTTCAGCTCCTAGGGAGAGGACTGTTCTTTGTCAGGGACTGAAGGGGCTTGTGAGAAAGGAGGGCAAGCAGCTGCCCTGCAGGGTACAATGAGCTTTAGGAGCAGGGATAACCTGTGAAATTCCAGAGAACCCAGTGAGAACAAAAATGTCACAGATTAAGGGCAATCAAGGCCAGAACAACAACAAACAATAAGAATGTAGTCTTTTGATCATTAGATAAAACACTCAAGAACAATGTAATATTGGTACAAAAGCTGATGCCTCAGTAAGCCCTGAATAAAATCATCATTAATTACACTTTGGGGAGAAAGTCAAAGATTAAAAAAACCTGACAGCTGAGTAATGAAATTTAAAAGTGGGCTCAACTCATGAACATGGTTGAATTCTTTGCTCCCCACCAGGAGAGAGCTGTGACACACCTAGACAAGGAGAAAACTATGGCCTCTGTCCTCACCTCACTCCCTCTCCAGGATCCGCGCTGGGCCTGGGCAAGCACCCTGGCCCTCCCTTGCCCTACACATCCTCACAGGGCGGAGAGCCACAGAGGGAGTTCTGAGGGAGGGGTGCAGAGGGAGGACAAAGTGGGCGAAGGGTCAGAGTTGTGTCCAACAGCTGGTGCTGCCCCAGGGCCAAGGTAGCTCAGGTAGGGTCAGAAGCTAAATTTTAAAATACAGTTTACTTGTCCTCTTTTCTTTCTTTTTTAAAAAATTGTAGTAAAATACAAATAATGTAAAATTTGCCACCTTAACCATGTTTTAGTGTACAGTTTAATAGTGTTTAGTATATTTGCATTGTTAAGTGACAGATCTCCAGAATTTTTCCATCTTGCAAAACTGAAACTCAATCTCTATATCTATTTAACAACACTCCATGTAATGCCTTCATTTAATCATTTTTCTTATTGCTTTAGCTCATGGAATCTTATAAAAGTGTCACCCCGCCTCAGCTATGGCAATGGACCACAGGGAAGGGGTTTTTGCCCAAATATGGCTCAAGTGTTAAAGGGGCAGGCTGGGGCTGTGGCACCAGAGACAACTAAAGCAAATCACCCCAAGAGAGGCTCAAGCTCAGGGCCAGGCTCCGGCTTGCAAATCTGAGTTTCCCTGTAACAGGGAGGTGGGATTCCTGATGGCTCATTTATAAGTCCACTCCAGAGACCACAACCCACCCACCTTCTCCCGCAAAGATGGCACTCACCATCAAAGTCCACGTCTTCATTCTGGAGGTCTGCCTCAGCAGCCCGGGGCTTTTTCTCTGTATCCAGCTCTGCGATGATGGAGTCAAAGAAGGCGATGGCCTCTGCCACATCTGCGCTAAACTGCGAGTATTTCTTGGGGGTTGCTTTCTGATACAGGTGAAGGGGAGGAGAGAGAGTTGCCTGAGCCAACCTCATAGCGCCCTCACACAAGTCAGCCATAACTGCCAAATAGAATTAAATGTTGCTGAAACTAAATGTATGTAAAGTTATAAATCTGCATCGTTTAAAAGGTAAATTTGGATAAATGCTCTGTGGAAGGAAGGTAGACACTCCACATCTACATTGCTGTAGGTCGATGGATTTCCAATTACCTCAAGGAGGAAGAGACAAAGGGCAAAAAGATCTACCTCTCTCCTTAAGGATGGTTATTGACCATTAGGCAAAATATTTAGTCTTTGTTTGGCCTTCCTTGTTCCCTGCTGATAAACACCCAATGAGGCAATTATACGGTTCCTTAGGTAGGTGACATGCTCACAGCAAGCAAGAGAGGACAAGATTTGTTGGAACTAATCCCTAAAAGTTGTCAGTGCCAAAAGTAGACAAACTTGGGCTTAATTCATGGAATAAATTGAAGAGAAATGAGTATCATTGTTTGAAAAGTGTAAGAAATAATAAATATATATAGTTAATAAAAAAACACTGAGTGCCTAACTGGGTACTGGCTGTCCTGATTCATTCTCCGCCAGGACCTTGTTCAGCATCACAACAGCCCACCTAGAGTCACAAGTGACTGACATTGTGGGAGCTCAAGCACCATGGTAAACTTCAATGGAGAGCTCTCCATGAAAGGCACAGAATCAATGCATGAACCAATAAAAAGTTCCCTGAGGAATTTAGGAAATAGAGAACTCAAAAGGGACAATATGTGTTAACCTGGGCTATTTTGACCATGTGTAGAGGTGTAGAATTCTTTTATTTTATCTGGGCATTTTGAAAGTGGGCTGGTAGTAAAAATAAATATGATTTAATTCCAGACCGGCATGTTGGGAAATTTGTTTACAAGACTTTGGTGAAATGTATGCATTTTGTACTATTAGAAAACATTTTTAAATTAAGAGTTTTTTCTTACAGAAAATATTAAAGAACCACAACATACATCTAAATCATTATTTTTTTTTTGTTTTTTTGTTTTTTGTTTTAAATATATCTTTATTGATTTCAGAGAGAGGACAGGAGAGGGAGAGAGAGAGATAGAAACATCAATGATGAGAGGGTCATTGATCAAGCCCGCAACCGGGCATGTGCCCTGACGGGAATCGAACCCTGATCGTCTGGATCCTAGGTCGATGCTCAACCGCTGAGCCACACTGGGCCGGGCTAAATCATTATTGTTAAAAGTGGAAAGCTATCCAAATGTAGTTATCCTTCCGTCTTCAGATAGGCCACTAAAATGAAAGGAGGAGGGAAAGTAAAAACTCCAACACAAAGAGAATAGGAGTGATGCCATCAGTGAAGGACTGGTTTCCAAAAGCTTCTGGTAGTTGGAAAGCAGTGGAAGAATGGTCATTGATGTAACAGGGCAGAGGGACTGGCCTCCCAGAGCTTCATGAGTGGGGAAAGCAGCTGAGGAGGGGACATTTTGAACCTTGGGAACTGAAAATGTTCCAGATTTGACAACACCAGATACTCTAAGGGTTGGGAGAGGGGTGTAGGACTGACTAGTGAGGGACTAGTTGAAAATCTACGTGTGCACAGCAGGCCAGGCCACCAGGCATCCTCCCTGCAGTGAGATGACAGGGGGCTCATCAATATAGGCAAGTCAATATTCTTTTATCTTCTCTGTGTTTTTTCTTGCTGGTCCCTCTGCCTTGGTTGTCTCATCTGGCTCACTCCTATTCATCTATCAAGACTTGGTTGATATGATGCAGCAATTCTACTTCTGGGAATATATCTGAAGAAACCCAAATCACTAATTTGAAAGGATAGGTACACCCCTACATTCATTGCAGCATTACTTACAATAGCCAAATATGGAAACAATCCAAGTGCCCATCAAAATGCAAGTGAATTAAAAAGCTGTGGGACATATATACAATGGAATATTACTCGGCCATAAAAAGAATGAAACCTTACCATTTGTGACAGCATGGATGGACCTATAGAGTATTATGATAAATGAGATAAATCAGTCAGAGAAAGACAAATACCATATGATTTCACTTATATGTGGAACCTAAAGAACAATATAAATGAACAAACAAAACAGAAACAGACTCCTAGATACAGAAAACAGACTGATCATTACCAGAGGGGAGGGGCTTTAGGGGACTGGGTGAAAAAGGTGAAGGGATTAAGAAGTACAAATTGACAGTTACAAAATAGTCATAAGGATGTAAAGTACAGCATAGGGAATATAGTCAATAATATTATAATAAGTATGTATGGCTCCACTTGGATACTAAGAATATCAGAGGAAACATTTGTAAAGTATATGATTGTCTAACCACTATACTGCACATCTGAAATTAATAAAAATAATACTAATTGGGGGAAAAAAAGACTTGCCTGAGACTGCTTCTTCTCCAGGACTACCCTCTTCTAATTCTACTATCACACGTATCATTTTAGAGATTTTTTGTGTGTGTGAAGTAGAAGACAGAGAAAAAGAGAATGGAGAGAGCCACATGTCTGAACTGAGCCCCAAAGGAAGAATGAATATTACTTAAGAGGAATGCCAGGTCCACAGGTTTTTGCATCTCAAAATCCATCTCCACATGAAGAGGATGTCTCTAAGTCTCCAGTAGCAACTACCATCAGTGTTTGGCTTAATACAAGAGTCTCAGTCTTGCATGTGGGCATCACATTCTTTTTCATCTGGGTCAACCTACAGTTGATGTAAGCTGTTCATTCCTCAACATCTCCAGTAAGTAGATGTTGGCAATCAGCTAAGAGAAGCCCAAAGCAGTTGGTTTCATTTAGAAGGGTTTAGAAGAGAGTCTTTGGTGTCTTAACTATCAAAGGCCTAGAAAACAAAAAGCACACTACCATTAGTTAATTTAACATGAGCCCTTTACTGTGGCCTTTTATGAGTCTCCTGAGCCTCCTCAAGTATTATCCCTCAAGAATAAAATTTACAAAGTAAAAAAATAAACCACTAGCATATACATCACCACTTTAGCCACTGAACTCTCTGTCTATCAAATCTGTTGGGCAAAGGCCCTTTCATCTGCACACTTGTCAGTTATTCTAAATATTCAAATATGTTGATTGTTTCCCAAACTTCAAGCTTTAGGATTCAAGACTCAGGTCTCTCTCCCGTACCTTGCCCTTTCTCCTATGCTTAGCAGAGACTGCCTTCCTGGGCACACTGGGAGTCACTGACAAGCTCCTTAGACAACACTGAAGAATTGCATTTTCTAGGTCCCAATTCCAGGGTCTCTGTTGAGTCATTCAATACATTAGCATTATAAAACTTGTTTCTGTTAAGAGCTTTCAGGTCCTGGTGTGGCTGGAGAGTGAGACATTGGGACACTCTGGTGACATTATTTGTGGCTGAGGCATACATACCTGCTTGAACAAGTCTCATCGATCAAAAAAGGCTTTCTCTCAACCCTTATCCCAATTACCTTCATCAGTTCCCTCCAAGCCCTTCATGAAATGAGGTATGGGCATACACAAATGTAAATGAATAAATAATTGCTCTCCTTCCTTTCTTAGTCCTGTCTTCCTTCCCTGTAAATGAAAGCCCCAGCCCTTGACCAAGTCTAAGAGCCCAGCCTGGGAGGCAATGAGGGGATGCTTCACCCTCAACCCAATTGGGCTGATTCTTCTACAGTCCAGCCCAATCCCATCTAGGCATCAGAATCTCCTGGGTTGCTCTTAAAGAGTATGTATGCCTGGCCCTTTCCCAGACCAATTACTTTAGATAACCAAGTGATTCTAATGCACAGCAGTAGAAAACCACTGCTCTGTAGGGACCCAGGCATGGAGGAGGTTCCCAGGCATGGGGGAGGGACCCATGGCTGAGTCTAGCTTCTTCAATCTTCCTATAGCTTCCATGAGCGTTTCCCACCTCTACAAGGACATTCTCTTGATCAACACTCACAGAGACCATTAGCATAGGGCTGCATCAACTGAGGCTCAAGGTTCAGGGCACAGGCTAATATCACAGGAAAATCTACTTTACCAAGAGGTGGTGGTATAAAATGGGAGGTCAGTGATCAAGACCCCTGGGTAAGATCCAAAATAGTCCTCCCTCTCTGAACTCAGAACTCCAGGTGAAAGTGGCTTGCTTCCCTCCCAACCTTGATGTTTTTCTAGCCCAGAATGTTTCAGCGACTCCTTTGGAAAGGCTGCATATAATGCAGCCTGTAACCTGTTGCACTTGGCCAGACCTGAGTTTCACAGGGCTCATGTTGCTTCATCAGCCCTACAGCAGCCCCAGGGGAAAGGAATTTTCTCTGAAAGCATGTGTATTGCATTGCCAATTCCACTCAAGTTTGCCTTTCACATTTCACCTTCAGTGGCTTAGGGTTATTATTTTCCAAGCCTCCCTCTCCTACTCCCTCACCCCAGGCTTGGGTCTCAGATTACTTTGCCCAGATGGAAACCTTTGCACTTTTCCAAATCCAAGTCCACTGTACGTCTCATTTTAATTTCCGAGCCCCCGAAGGCAATTTATGATATTTTTCTGCATTTCATATAAGCTGTCATCCTGCTGGTTTCACCTGACCTCTGGGTACATGGCCTTCTCCAATCTGCTTGTTTTCTTCTGGGATCTGCCAGTATTTGTTTGCAAGAGATTTGGATTCTACAGAATAAACTTCCAGTTGTAAACAGCAATATTTTTGTCAGAGGTTAGGGTAAGGGGATATTCTAAACCCACCCAACCCTGGCCAGTTTTTCTCAGTGGTTAGAGCCCGTGGACCAAAGGATCGCAGGTTCAATTCCTGGTCAAGGGCATGTACCTGGGTTGCAGGTTCGATGCCTGGTTCCAAACAGAAAGTCCATATCCATTAAACAGTAACTCCCCACTTCCCTTGCCCCCATCCATGGTAACCTCTATGCTACTTTCTCTCTCTATTAATTTGCCAATTCTAGGAACCTCATATAAATGGAGTCATATTGCATTTGTCCTTCTGTAATTG